CAACTTAAGTCAAAGGGGAGATCCTTGCTCTACCAAATTTTGGAGTTCCAGAGGGTGAGGTGGTGGCTGCCAAGAAGGAATGATTGTTTTTAAGAAACCCTCTGGTTTTGAGAAAAGCTGTATAATTTTGCAGAAATGGGATCAGGCTCGAGCAACGGCCTGTGCAAACACAGGCCACTGTTCTTCCGCTTTGAGTTCCCTTTCATACTTTTTTGTTTCCTGGCAATAAGTATGCGACCACCCTAAATGTTGCCTTTACAAGTTATAAGAAAGGGAAAGTGCTCCCCAGGAGTATAATTAAAAAGTCCCAGCCCTAAGACAATTGTTAGCGGCTGCAGTACTACTGAAGTTATTCATAAATGGGATTGAAGTGCTTTGCAGAAATATGCCTTGAAGCTATTTCTTGTTTTTAGAAAAGGGGGGATGATTCTTGCGACAGAAATGAACATTTGGGAAATGTGAGGTTCTCATCCTTTAAATTGCACGGTGCCAATTAAAGCACCTTCTCTCCATGGGGGTGCTTGTCGTTGCAGAGAGCGCCCCCTGGTGGCCTGCTTGAGAACTCCTTCTCAATGCCCTTGCTAGCGTTCTGTTGCCCATCGCTAGAGAGGTCATCAAGGTTGCGGGTGGGCGGCTGGGCAGAAGTTGAATTAAATTCAGCGGGGTGTATATAGGGCAAGAACGGAGGGTTGGGGGGAAGAATATGAAGCTTCCAAAGTGTGGATCAGCTACATCAACATCAACCTTGACCAATGGCCTTGGTAATGGAACAGCAGAGAAGCAGTTGGGGAGCTCCCGGTCAACGTTTTTCACCTCTAGCCTAATCCTTCCAGCACAAAAGGCAAATCGGGAAAACTTTTATTCTTTTATCTTCTTGCCCATTTCAGAGATCAAAACAGGATCAGCTTCTTGCAATCGGGACTCAATTTCCATTTCAGCCCAATGGGTGTTGAGTATTTGCTCCCCAATGAATATTGATGAGTATGAGTATTTGCCCCTGATATGCTCAAAATGAGTGTTTGCCCATCAATCATTTGCTGAAAATTTGCTTTTCATCCTGTGCCTGGCATGACAGGCAGAGAAAGAAGGAAAGAAGGAAAGAAGGAAAGAAGGAAAGAAGGAAAGAAGGAAAGAAAGAAAGAAAGAAAGAAAGAAAGAAAGAAAGAAAGAAAGAAAGAAAGGCTGCCTTTGCTTCTGAGGCCCAGTGGTGAATAAAAAGTCACAGTTGAATCAAGCCCCACTCTTGGCAACTTCACAGACTGCCCCCCCCCCATGACTTTTCTGCCAATGGTACAGAAGTAGTTTATGGCCACTTTCTGTTTGGGGGGCTTTCCAGTCTAGCCTAAAAGCCCAGGGATTTCTTTGTGGTCTCCCCTCCATGTATTTTTTTACCTAGATCTGACCCTATTCCACCTGGTGCACCACCCAAATGCCACGGGACAGTGTCTGTGAGCTCAGAAGAATACCTAGTTTAGCAAAAATACAAAAAAAAAAAAAAAAAAGGATCAAGAAGGAAAAACAAAGATTTAAGGGCTGAAAAAATGGAACTGGGAGGAGACACTCTGTGGATTGTCCACCCTTGGAATGAAGTATCCAAAAAAAAAAAAGAGGATCAAGAAGGAAAAACAAAGATTTAAGGGCTGAAAAAATGGAACTGGGAGGAGACACTCTGTGGATTGTCCACCCTTGGAATGAAGTATCCTGTCAAACGGCACGTGCATTGCATGATTAAGCTCTCAATGGATCTGGCTCCCTTTTTTTAATTTCAAAATTGCTGACCACCAGTTGCTTGCTAGTAGGAAGCTGGGAAGAAATCTACAGATTACCATCAAGGGCCTGTATGTGTGTGTGCGCGTGCACACACAGTGTGGTCCATTTTCGACATGACGCAACTTCTTCATGCTCACGCGTATCTCAGTTCCAATGGGACGGAGCTAGCATAGGAAAACAGAATAATTCTGCTCCAATCTAGCCCCCTCTGCCCTGAATGGCTAATCTTGACCTACCATCCCCAGTATACCAATCTGGGGTGGGAATTTGGGGTGAGGTAGTCTCAGCATCCCTGGAGGGCGCTGGGTTGGGGATGTCAGATCTCAGCCCATTCTTGCTTACAAGATCACTGAGCAGATGGCTCAGATCTCCAGCTTTCCAAGCATGAAAGAGCAGAGGTCCAACTTTTAAGCCCTTAATCTCTAAAACAGTGTTTCTCAACCTTGGCAGCTTGAAGATGTGTGGACTTCAACTCCCAGAATTCCCCAGCCACATCTTCAAATGACCAAGGTTGAGAAGCATTGCTCTAGTGGATCCTGTATGGCGTTGGGGTTATTCATAGGAGCATCTGCCCCCAAGGATATTTCCCATCCTACAAGGAAGACATACTCCAGGTCCCCTCCATGAACCAATGTCCTCTTCTGGGACCCAGGAGGTGTGTCTTCCTGGTGGCTGATCCTGCCCTTTGGAATGGCCCCCCCAGCACCCCGATATACAGCGGGCCCCGATCCTGCACGCACTTAAAACCTGTCTCTTTGCTGGGCTCTTGGGGTCAGGATAAGACGTGCTGAGTTCCCAGTGGTGAGTTACAGTATCTTTTGGTTCAGATGGTCAAGGTGTTGTTTTAGCTGGTTTGCAATGGGTTGGTGGTGTTTTCCTTCCCACTGCTGTTTGGCAATTCTTTGTAGACTGCCCACGGTGATGCTGTTTGAGCTGGGTGGCCATAGAAATGCTCTAAAGAAATAAATGAATGTGCCTTTAACTCCATAGGATGGAAAATTTATATGTGCATTTGTGCATTTGTTCAATGCATTCCTTCCTTTCTTTCTTTCTTTCTTTCTTTCTTTCTTTCTTTCTTTCTTTCTTTCTTTCTTTCTTTCTTTCTTTCTTTCTT